GTGCAAGTGCGACTACTGGGTAAGGGGTCTCACGTCCGATTCCTGGGTTGGGCAAACTATTCATGGGTTTTTAGAAAAAAAAAATCTGTAGTAGCACAGAGTCTGGAATTGTGTCCGGTATGGCAATATGCTCACGCCTATTAGATGGGACTCATAATATATACATGTATATATGAATGTGAAAAGTGGGTGGTATTGTACCGTGGTATTAAGTGCCGTAACGTGCATCTCTGCCTATCCCTCCGGGGATAAAAAGCGTGATGTTGTGTATGTAATTATGTTATAGCATAGACTTAGTCTTATCTTGACTACATTGTTCATTTTAGAGGTGGTGATAACTTGTTACTACGATAGGGACCCACAGATTTCCAAACCAAATTTCCAATTAAGTACCTATAGTACAGTCCCTTTAAGGTCGCATCCAAGGTCATATTACCAAGGATTATCATCTAAACTGCAAATTATACGGAAATCAATCGCTTGGTTGACATCGGTGTACCGTAACCTCTCGAATTAACCGCAAAGAGGTGTGACCGGGTACCATTGTCGACGACAAATGTAAACACGGTCCCTTGTAGTGGAACCGCAAATCCTTTTGGCCGTCTTTATGTTCAACGATACGACAGCGATACGATATCGTTTGCGGGATGGGGAAGTAATTATAGAATACTTGGATTATGTGATTCCCTAGGTGTTAATTTATGCTAGGTGTTTTGGTGTGGGAAAGCCGTGCTTCGGCACGAATATCTCCCCCAATCCCGGAATCCTAATAATCCTCACATTCATAATCCCCAAAAGGCCACTAACGCACTTGTAAAGCCTCCAGGTGTCATGGGCGATGCCGATTGCTTACCATCAGGTGATCTGTCAGCTCGTTTACCGGCTTATCCCATAAAAAAATAAAAAATGACAATTAGCCGCGTGGGGACGGTAGAATAGAAGACATTAGTCATCATCCCTACTCCTCCTCCCCCTTTATGAGTCTATGGGGCCTATTGTAATATGCTCACCACATGGCGCTAGTGTGAACCTCTCGTTCTTCGTCCAATAGGGAATTCGGTAGTATCACACCATTGGGCGTTCGATGTTTGACAGCTGCTGTGAATGGACAAAATTCCCTTTCTACATTCGCGCCATTTGGTGAGCAACAGGCCCCATTAAGCACTCACAGAGGGCTTCATCTTCATGAGCAGCGTGAGCAACCACAGCCCCTCTGTGGTTCGAAAGTAGCAAGCTTTTCTCAGTTCATTCACGTGAGTAAACCGCGATTTTTAGTTAGCTTGGCAAGCTGATTGGATTTACATAGTTGAGTATAAAAAATGCTTCAAAACTCCATTGTCCGGTCTCTCTTAAATATACAACCTATAGATAACCTTAATGGAGCCTGTTGCTCACCAGACGGCGCAAATGTAGGAAAGAAATTTAGTAGTTATGTCTCACGATAGTTATTATAAATATAAAGCTTGCTAAGCGTTGAGATTATAGCAAAAGAGCCCAAAGAGACGCGTGCCCGAGCACGTGGGAGACGTTACCGATTTCTTGGTATTCGAATACTTCAATGGATCCTTAGAAATACTCAGAGAGTTAGGATAATGAAATAAGAGAGTTTCCTAAAAATAATCTCACCAGCGTTGTCGATTCAGTATCGGCTAGCATAAAACCAATTATGTTTCTGATGGCAAATACCTTTCTAGGGTTTCGATAGATGCTCTGACATCCTGCTTATTGCTTCTTATACAGATAGACAGAATAACTAACCTACTTAGAATACGGTAAACTAAATTCCATGTTGCATATTATGTTTTATACATTATCGCATAAAGTTTATAGTTACAAGGAAATGAAATGCAAAATGCAAAACAGTCATACATATCCACAGAATAAAAAACGTTAAGCATAAACCTCCTTAGTAAGTCGGTTAATGTGGTTAAACAAAACAAACAAACTGATAACAAAAATGAAAATCCACAGTAACTAGTTTATTAGCACTGTTCTCTAGTTTGACTTTGTTGTTAGTAAATTACGAACATTGTACAGCGTATTTTATGTGTGAATACATTTTATTGCCTGCCTTAGTTATGTGCGCCAGACTGGCACGTTGATTTAGTGGATGCAACATTATCAATTCATTGTCTGTTGTTGCCGGTATGATAATTTTCATTGGCAGTGCCATTTTATACCTAGTACTTTATAGTTTGTCATGCAAGTAATTGTTATTATGTGGAAGAAAATTGAAATTTGGCAATCATGATTTGTTTCAGTAAAATAGTTTAATTAAATTCAATTAATTTTGTTTCAGAAATTAAAAGAAAAATATAGATGATAAAATAAAATACAATATAATACTAATTATAAAAAGTGTTTATTTTGAAAAGAAGAAAGAAAGAAAAAAAAGAATAGTAAAACCATTTATTTAGCTACGACACACAACAAGAATTTTCTCATAAATACTCTTTGGATACAAATTATTTAAGCCGTTATATTTAAATGTTCAAAGAAAAGTTGTCTCGTTCTTATTTCAAATGCAACTCAACGAACTGGTATAGAAATCAACCAATCAGTTGAGTGCGTCTTGATTCGAGCTCTTGCTAAAGTTGCCATTAATGAATTAAGTCGAGCAGAATTAATTGTGATTCTTTTGTATGTTCAAAACAGAAAATTGTCCTGTTTTGAGTTAATGTGTAAATCATTTTGAGATTTTGAGTATTATGAATTAACCATAACCATGATTAAATGCTAGCAAAACCAGGCACAATTTTAAATTTAATACTACTTACATACTACTATGAAAAATGACTTTGAACTTTGACTACTATGAATTGATTGACTGCCTCGTTGGCCGAGTGGTCGCAAGTGCGACTGCCGGGCAAAGGATATCGGGTTCGATTCCCGGGTCGGGCAAAGTATTACTGGGTTTAAAAAAAATCTCAGTAGTTGCACGGAGTCTGGGATCTTGCCAGGTATATGGTAATAGGCTCACCTAGGGGGTGATTATTACATGAGACTCGGACTCATAACATAAAAGTGGGTGTTACATTATACAGTGGCATAATGTGGACCTCTGCCTACCCCTTCAGGGATAAAAGACGTGATGTTATGTTATATATACTACTACGAAAGTAAAAAATGAAACCGCTTACCAGCTAATTTGTGAGATTTGGAAACATGAATTACTAATGATATTATTTTCTAACACTAACACTTCGGTACGATACTATAACCCATTTATTGTAAACCCAATTCATAACCGAATATTCTAGTCAATTTTATATAATAACGTTCGTTCCGTTTGCCTTGAGGCAAGAGTTTGTATATTTCCCCTACCTATATCAAAACATGCCTCAAACATTGTGTTTTAAAAGTTTTCCCAAACGTACGTATAATTCATACAAATATGTATTAAAATAAAACATAACAACCCAGGAATCATGGCTACCTTTATTTGTATAGTTAATTTAATTATACCTTTTAGAAACAAAATGTCAGTGTGTTTAATTTCGAAAACATTATCTCATCTGTTCTTCATATATAATCTGTTAAAATAAAAAAAATAGGCCGAACTGGCATTACAAAATAAAAAAATAAAAAAATTTAAAAATCGAATTAGAAACAGATACAGATTTTAGATTCGGTGTAATCAAATTATTTAATTGTTTTTGTTTTTTAATTAATAGAATCGATATTAAATTATTAATTAGGAGTAAATAAAAATAGACCTACAAACATTTTATTTAAATTTTTTAGCAATATAGTATTTATACAGACAGAACTTGAAACCGTGGTGCTAACTTAAGGCCAGCCAAAGCCGTGGTGCTAGCTTAAGTAAACCAAAAAAAAAAAAAACAATTTCTGAGGGTGACATTTCGCGGGTATTTCCATCTACGTACGAAATTCAGTCAGCAGTTTGAGAACGACGAGAACTATCGTACCGTGCAAATGCATTTCTCAAAATTGCACGAAATGGCGATCCAAATTAGCATGTGTCAGGAATACGGTACTCGACGTTGGGATTCAGACGCAGTGACATATGAATGCGGAGCAGACCAGTTAAACGAATAATTGGAGGAAATAATGACAGATGTGTAGTGTTGTCCAATCTTGTGAATGTTTGTATCGATTTATTTTCCTTATTCATTTCATCGTAACTAATCACAAAATTCATTTTCTTAATAGCGCATCCAACTACCTATATAATTACAACTGTAGTTTTGCTATCATCGGCGGAAAGATATCGGTAACATTATATTAATAGTAGATAATTGATGATTCCTAATAATTTGTCTACCTACGTTTATGGAACGAAATATGGCAAAATAATTCATTTGGTCGTGAAAAATATTGGCTAGGCTATCGGTAATTAATAAACCTACAATTTTGTTATAAATGTATGTAGACCTTTTGAAATCTTAAGAAAATTTTATCTAGTTAAAACAGCGCGCTGAACAACTAGTGGTCCTTAACCCTTTAACCGCCAAGATTCTGAACTTTCAACTTACCTCCAGCGCCACGTCACTTTAGGTATAAGTTGGAACAGTGTTGGGAACACTTAATATCGATGCATATATTCTTTATTAATTAAAATCAATGTTATATTACCTACTTAATAAATAATCTAAAAATTTTCAATCTTCAAACGAAGTATACGAAAATGTGTATTCGGGAAATGGGCACGGCGTCGTCCGTTCTCCTGCTGGCGACCGTGACGATGCTCCACGAGCATGTCGTATTAAATTTAATAATTTCATGTAAACTTCTGAGCGGATTTCCGACAGTACGGTTTCCAGCTCAAAAGGTTTTAAAGATGCAAAGTATTCATTTCGTGGATCACTTGGTCTCTGATCAAAAACTTTTGCGTCACCATGTTCTAACTTTGCATAATGGACACATTTGGTTTTGACTGTGTTGATTTATTTGAGAAATAACAAAAACCCAAAAAAAGGGCTTACAACACTAGTTGTATTGAGTGATAAATGTTTAACGTGATTTTACGGTGACGCACAGTATGTCGACTAGAACATGCTAGCTGGACAAAAATCGTTATCAAACACTCGAAAACAAAGTGTCGTTTAACGTAAACAACACCATAGAGACGCTAATTCTAGGAATTGTTTTCGTTTAACACAGTGGATTTGTTTTGTTTGAAATGTGTAAGTACCCTTTATTGTGTAAATCACAAATGCACATTTATTCAGTTGCAATTTAGCACTACGTTGATTAACATCTCCAAAGAAATTTTGTGATTGAATCTATTTTATTAGTGATGGATTATATACTAGAAGGTATGTATATTTTTATTATATATACATGATAAAGTAATTTTAACTGTGTAAATTTATAAAAGAAACCTACCCTCATACGTCTTTCAAGGCGTAATTTTTCTAACTTTCAAAGGTTTGTTGGAGGGTAACTAAAAACCCCCAGTCTACCCCAGTTTACTTTTTTTTTCTAGAGGTAGCTACATATTTTAGCTTTTAAATAATGTATATTTTTTTACCCCGAACACAGTCCAACATGGTTTTATTTTTATTTTTCAGAAGTTACATACAAACTTACTCGTATTGAATTTTTTCAAGGGTGGGTCAAATTAGATAAAAAGGATAAAAATAATTTAATGCTAAGGTATATAAAGCAGAAATGGAGCTTGGAGGATGTTGTAGATACATCAGAAAAAGAAATTAAATTATAAATATCAAGATTTTCGGCAAAATTAACTGAAAAATGGAATTCTTGTCGATTC